GGCGGATGCGAAAGTACCGCTGGTGGTGCTGGGCAGCTCTGCCATTGTATTGCTGGCGGGGGTGTGGTACTGACTGCTCCCTGTGATGGCATAGGGTAAGAGGGTCCCCTGCCCCCCCGGGCGCCCGCCGAGCCCGCGGCACCGGCGGAGCAGGAGCCCCGCCAGGGCGCCCAGGAGGCGCCGCCGCCATCCTCCTCGTCGTCCCGCTCCAGCGTGCCGTCCGTCCTGCCGCGCCGGCCCTCCCGCAGCCCCGGCGTGCCCCGGCTCGGTGCCCGGCGCGGTGCCGCCCGCTGGGTGCTGCCCGAGGTCAGGGTGGTGGACGTGAGCGGCGAGCCCGAGCGGGGCCGGGCGGGAGCCTCGCGGAGCCGCCTGCCGCTGCCGGGGTCCCTGCAGGTGCTGCCGGGGCCCGGGCGGGTCGCCAAGGGCCAGCCGCGGCTCTGCGACCCCTGGCTGGCCTCGGCCCGCCTGGCCCCCGGTGTCACCGTGCGCTGGGGCGGCAGCGAGCGCCGCGGGCCGGCCCCGGGGGGGCACGGCGGCGACGAGCAGGGCGACGAGGCGCTGGGGACGGCGGATGAGGACCTGAAGCCCATCCTGGCCGACCCCGAGTGCCGGCTCTCGGAGTACAAGGAGGAGGAGCTGGAAAACCTGCTGGGAGCGGGGCTGCTCCTCCCGGGGGCTGGCCCGGCTCCGGAGGGATTCCCGTCGCCCCGGGTCTCGCTGGTGCCGGGGTTGGCACCGGGCGTGGCACCGTGGGACGCTCCCGGAGCTCGGGGCTCTGTGACAGCGCCGCCGAAAAGAGCAGAAGTGAATAAAAAGCATTAAAGTGAGATTTGCGGAGCGCGCCGTGCCACCGGAGGCGGGCCGGGAGCACCGGGTGCCGCCAGCGCCCGGAGCCGCACGCGGCTGGTCCCCGCTGCCCCTTTGTCCCCAAACGAGGAGCAAGGGCGATGTGACGGGGTGACACGTGTGGCCTCGCCCCGGGAGATCCCGTCCTGGGGAACACGGACGGGACGGGGCGGGCAGAGCCTGCCCGGAGCCTCCTCCGCCTCCCCGGGCGCAGCTCGGGGTCCCTCGCTGGGACTGTCCCCATCCCACAGGGACGTGCTCCAGCCCTGCGGTGTCCCCTCACTGCCCGAAGGGGACTTCGGGGGGCATCGCCCCTCCCGCAGCCGCCCCGGGCTTGCAGGGAGCCCGAAGGGGCACCGGCGACACTGAGGTGACAGCGGTGTGACACAGGGAGCTTTACCTGTCCCCCGAGCTGCATCTATAGAGACCCTCATTAGCCCTGATGAGTGGGCGTGGTTTCATTCATTAGCATGGGTGGTTTTCAGATCCTTTCAGCGCCAGGTGAGGCCTCAGGCGGGGATTTCTGTCCCTCATTAGCAGGGGATGATGGAGTGGGCGTGGCTTCATTCCTAATTAATTCCCCTCGGGTCTTAATTCAGCGCTCATCGAGGGTCCGCTCTGGCGGCCCTACAGAACGGGAAGCCCCAACCTCAGGCCCGCCCTGGGTGTCCCTCTGCCCGCGGAGCAGGTGAGACGTGCCCCGATCGCCCCATTTGTGACCCCATTTGTTTCGTGTGGGGGCAATTCCTCCCGTGTTGTCAACACCACGGAGGAGCACTGGGGTGAAAAACATCGTTTGGGGTGCAGCCTGGGCAGATCGGCAGATAATGGTGGTGGAGAAATAAAAAAAGTCCGTGTGGTTTTACAGCACCCACAGCTTTTTAACAGCAGTAAAGAAACTGTCATTTCCTGACAGGGTAGCACTGGGGACAGTGGGGTGGCACAGGGGACGCGTGGCTCGCCCTCCTGCCTGCTCCAGCCACTCTGCTGTCCCTCCTCGGCTCCCAGCGCTCAGGGAGCAGCGGGACTCGTGCCGTGCCGTGCCGTGCCGTGCGGTGACACCGGCCGGGCAAAGGTCCTGCTGTGCCCTCTGTCCCCAGCCCCACCCCGCGCCCGGCCATGGAGCTGCTGGGGGCTCTGAGCCCCCCGTGGTGGCTCCTGCTGGCCCTGCTGCTGGCCCTGCTGCTCTGGGCCACGCGCAGCAGCCCCTGGGACCCCCGCAAGTGTCCCACCGACCTGACGGGCAAGACAGTGATTGTCACCGGAGCCAACAGCGGTGAGCACGGAGCGGGGCGGGGGCACGCGTGTGGGTGGTGGCGTCATGGCCGAGGGGTGACCTGCAGGGGACACGGGTGTCGCTTTGCCAGGCCCCTGCTTTGGGAGTGCAAGTGGCTGCAGAAGAAGCACTGGGCACCCACAGTGTGCCCCTGGTGCCCCTGCCCTCCTCCCGAGGCTGGACTCGGCACTGTCAGTGACTGACGGACACGGCCACCATGTCACACCAGGGATGGGGTCACTTCTCCCTGCTGTGTGCCACTGCCATGAGGTCGGGCTGGCACCGCTGGAGACCCCCAGGCTGGGATTGGGACACCCACACGTGCCCGGGGACAAAGCGACCCCACACGTGCTGGGCTCCATCCCCTCCCCAGTGCCCATCACTCCCTGCTGGGTGGTTCTGGCTGTGACAAGGGCTGCCCAAACCTTGGGGACAGGGACGCGGACCCCCAGGGATCACCCCTCTCGGCATCCCGCAGGCATCGGCAAGTGCGTGGCCATGGACCTGGCGCGCCGGAACGCCCGCACCATCCTGGCGTGCCGGAGCCGGGAGCGGGGCCAGGCGGCCGTGGAGGAGATCCGGGCGGCCACGGGGAACGCGGCGGTGCTGCTGCGGCCGCTGGACACCGGCTCGCTGGCCTCGGTGCGCGCCTTCGCCCGCGCCGTGCTCCGCGAGGAGCCGCGCCTCGACGTGCTGGTCAACAACGCCGGCGTCACCGGTAGGTGACAGGGAAAACCAAAAAACCCTGCAGTCTCAAAGGGGTCCAGCGCCCCGTCCTCACGCCCCATGGAGTGCCCACCTGTGGGGGTTCCATCGTTGGTGTCTCTGGGTCGGGATTGGAGGCACTTGAGACGGTAATTCGTGTTCGGACTCGGGTGTTTGTTATTTCTTATCAGTTAAACAGGCTCACTGCTGTGAGTTCAGCAGGTTTTCATTAGAAGGCACAAAATGGCTACAATCTTGTTACAAGGTCTTTTAAGACTGAACTGTCCAATTAAGAACTGACACCTGGATTATTTCCCCTTTTAACCCAATAACCGATCCCACAGAGCCTGCAATGCAGACTTTTCTGCCCAATTACAAAATGTCACCCAAACCATGAAGAAGAAGGAAGAAGAAGCATGAAGAAGAAACCCAGGGTGACACCCTGTGCCCTCCATTTTGCTCCCATCCACAACACACTAAAAATCCCAAACCCTAAATTTCTCATCAAATGACACACCTACACTACTCTCTGTAATCCATTTCACGCTTTTGTGGATTCTGGTCTATCTTGAAATCTAGGAAACTTTCTCCATGGATGAAGGTCAAAGTCAGTGCTCCCCTGGGGGTCAGGGCACCCGGAGCAGACAGAGAAATATTCCCAGTGCCCTGGGTTTCCACACGCACCCTCCTTTCAGGTTTGCCCTTCGCCATCACGTCGGAGGGGTTGGAGCAAACCTTCGTCACCAACTACCTGGGCCCGTTCCTGCTCACCAACCTGCTCCTGGGTGAGTGCAGGGCCTGGCGGAGTCGGGGGGTTCTGGGGACTCCTCCTGGCTCACCCCCTGCTTGGCACAGACCTGCTGAAGGCCTCGGCGCCCGCCAGAGTGGTCAACGTGTCGTCGTTCCGGCACAGCGCGGGCACGGCCGACAGCGGGTACCTGACGGGGCAGCGGCGCCCGGGCGGGCACGACGCCGCCTACAACAGCACGAAGCTGATGAACGTGCTCTTCACCAACGAGCTGGCACGGCGCCTGCAGGGCACAGGTGGGTGCTGGGCCGTGCCGGGCTCAGCCGTGCCACGTGGCACCCTGGGGACACAACTCGTGGCAGATCCCGGGGGGTGACACGGGTTGGGCTCGCTGGGAACCCCCAAGGGTGGCAGAGCCCGGGCTGAGGTCAGGCCGGGGGCTGCTCCCCGAGGGATTTGGGGACCCTGCTGACGGTGTGGCCCGGCAGGGGTGACGGCCAACGCGCTGAGCCCCGGCGTGGTGAGCACCAGCATCATGCGCCACTTCAGCTGGGCCGTGCGGGCGCTCTTCGTCCTCCTCCGCCCCTTCATGAAGGTGAGCGGGTCCTGCCCTGCCGGGGGCAGCGGGGTGGCTGGGCGGGAGGTGCCAGACCCCTCCTCACCCTCGTTCCCCCGCAGTCGGCCGAGCAGGGCGCTGCCAGCACCATCTTCTGCGCCGTGTCGGAGGAAGCCGCGGGCATCAGCGGGAAATACTTCGACAGCAGCTGCCGGCTGGCGCTGCCCTCGGCGGCCGCCCGCGACCCCGCGCTGGCACGGAAGCTCTGGGAGGCATCGGAGCGGCTCACGGGGCTCTCGGGGCAGGACTGAGCCAGCGGGATGTCACCCCTCAGCGCGGGAAGGGGGACACGGGCGCCGCTCTGCTCCCGCTGCGCTGCCCAGGGGACACCACGGCGCCGGCCAGCTGTGGCTGTGACGCTTTTATTAAAAACCCCGGCGCTACTCCCAGGTGATGTCCAGGTCCAGCCGCTGCTTCCTCACGGCCTGCAGGAAGCTGTCGTAGTCGCGCCGGTGGATGTCGGGGCAGCGGCTCAGCTCCAGGCGCCGCAGGGGCCCCTCGGAGCCCAGCAGCTGCCACACGGTGCCGGGGGACACGCGGCTCTCGGCCAGCGACAGCTCCCGCAGCTCCGGCAGCGCCAGCGCCGGCTCCAGCACCGCGTCCAGCGGGAAGGGCACGGCCAGCAGGCGCAGCACCTGCAGCCGTGGGGCCACGCTCAGCAGCGAGGCCAGCGTGGAGCTCAGCACTGGCCCGTGCGCCGCGGGCACCGGCCCGGCCAGGCTCAGCGAGAAGCTCTGGAGCCGGGGCAGCCCCCGAGGCAGCAGGTCGGTGGCCCAGCGTGCTGGCGGGGCGGGGGGCTCCTCCTCAGGGGGCTCGTGGTGGGCGTGGGGGTCTGGCGGCGCTTCCAGCTCGGCGCTGAAGCTCTGCAGGCCGGGGCAGCTGGCGAGGAGGGCGGGCAGCGAGAGGGGGTCGTGGCAGGTGAAGCCGTGCAGGGTCAGGGCGCGCAGGCGGGCGCCCAGGCCCTGTGCCAGGGGCAGCACCTCTGCCAGCGCCCGGCCGCGCCGCCCGGAGCAGCCCAGCGTCAGCCGCGCCAGGCACGTCCAGCCCGGCAGCTCCCGCAGCCCCGAGGCGCCGGCGCTGTCCCCCAGCCACACGCTGAGCTCCTCGGCCTGGGGACACACGGCGTGGACGGTGCCCAGCGCGTCCTCCTCCACCTCCTCCAGCTGCCGCAGGGGCAGCGCCAGCGGGGCTCCCTCGGGGGCAGCCCCCCGGCCCCGCGCCAGCTCCCGCAGCGAGGGGAAACCCTCGGAGTCCTCGGTGCCCTCCAGCCGCCCCGCGCGGAGCAGCCCCAGCGCAGCCGGCAGGGCGCCGTGTGCCAGCACCTCCAGGCACGGCAGGGCCAGCAGCAGGAAGGCCAGGGCAGCCAGCGTGTCCCCGTCCCCGGCGTGCTGCAGCTCGCGGGCCAGCAGGACGCGGAGCGCGGGGCAGCCCGGGCTGCGCTCGGCGGGGTCGTAGGCCAGGTGGCGCAGGGCGCGCGGTGTCACCTTCTTGCAGCCGGACACGTCGAGCTCACGCAGCTGGCGGCAGCTGGAGCCCACGGCAGAGAGCACCTGGATGTTGGCCTGGGTGTGGGCCAGCCCCAGGCGGCTCAGGCGGGGCAGCCCCTCGGCCAGGTCCACCAGCACGGAGGGCGAGAGGCGCCCGCAGCCGCCCAGGTCCAGCACGCTCAGGCCCTGCAGGCACACGGGGAGACCCTCAGTGGGGCGGGCAGGGGGCACGGGTGCCACTCTCAGCCCCTGCAACTCGAGACTTGGAGAGGGTGGGCAGGCCCTGTGTGCTCCCCCTGTGCCAACTCCTTGGCAGAGGGATGATGGCACCCCCAGCAACACTGATGGTGGGCATGCCCGGCCCCATGGAGCTCTATCCCCCTTACCCCATGGAAGGTGGGCACCCCAAACCCCACAAAGTATGAGCACCCCTGTCCCCACTCTCCCATCCTCTTAGAGGGGGTCACCCCATAGACCATGGCACTCCCAGTTCTGCTCCCCCAAGGTGTTGTCACCCCCTGCCCCATGGATGACGAGCACCCACCCCAAGCTCCATCCCCCCTACCCCATGGAAGGTGGGCACCCCAAACCCCACAAAGTATGAGCACCGCTGCCCCACACTCCCATCCCCTTAGAGGGTCCCACCCAGCCTAACTCCCCCTGCCCCACAGCCCTGCTCCCCCAAGGTGTTGTCACCCCCTGCCCCATGGATGACGAGCACCCACCCCAAGCTCCATCCCCCCTACCCCATGGAAGGTGGGCACCCTAAACCCCACAAAGTATGAGCACCCCTGCCCCAGTCTCCCATCCCCTTAGAGGGTGGTCACTCCCCCTGCCCCACACCCCATGGCACTCTCAGTGTTGTCACCCCCTGCCCCGTGGAGGGTGGGCACTCCCAACCCCACAGCCGTCACCCCCCGTGCCCACAGCAGCCCTGCCCCGCTCGCCCAGCCCGTGCCCGTGCCCACCTGGCAGCGCAGCACGATGAGGTGCCCCAGGGCGTTGTTGGCCAGGCCGGGGCAGGCGCGCAGGCTGAGCTGGCGCAGGTGTGGCAGCAGCAGCAGGTGCAGCGCCGCCCGCGACAGCCGCCGGCTCGTCCCCAGCAGCTGCAGCAGCTCCTGCACCAGCCCGCAGGCTGGGGGGCACAGGGGGTCAGCGAGGCCCGGGACCCCCGTGCCCACCCCCACGGTGGCCTGAGGCACCCCCGAGCTCACCCAGGTCGTTGAAGGGCCCCACGAGGAAGCGGAACTCGTACTCGTCCAGGTAGTTGTCGCTGTAGTCCTTGGCCCAGAGGCTCTGCATGTGCTGGGCCAGGCTCTGCAGGCACAGCGCGGTCAGCGCGGGCACTGCCCGCCGCCGGGGCATCCCTGCGGGGACAGGGACAGGGACAGTCAGAAAAAACCTGGAAATGGGGGAAAAAACCTGGAAATGGGGGAAAAAACCTGGAAATGGGGGAAAAAACCTGGAAATGGGGGAAAAAACCTGGAAATGGGGGAAGAGCCCTGGGAAATGGGAAAAGAATGTGGGAAATGGGGAAAGAGCTCTGAGAAATGAGGGGGAAAACCTGGGAAATGGGGAAAGAACCCCAGGAAATGGGAAACAGCACTGGGAAATGGGGAAAAAAAGTGAGAAATGGGGAAAAACTCCAGGAAATGTGGAAAAGATGCTGGGAAATTGGGAAAGAGCCCTGGGAAATGGGGAAAACCCCCTGGAACTGGGGGAAGTATCCCAAGAAATGGGAAAAGGACCCGGGAAATGAGGGAAAAAAACCTGGAAAATAGGGAAAGAACCTCGGGAAATGGGGAAAAAAACCCAGGAAATGGGAAAGGAGCCCTGGAAATGGGGAAAAGCCCTCAGGTACTGGGAAAAGCCCCTCTGGGACGGGAGGAAATCCCCTTGGACTGGGAAAAGAACCCCGGGAAATGGGGGAAAAACCCGGAAAATGGGAAAGAACCCCGGGAAATGGGGGAAAAGCCCGGAAAAATGGGAAAAGTCCCTCTGGAAGCAGCTGGGGCACAGGGAGAGTCTGGGGCACGGTGAGTCATTAGGGCGGGGCCGTGGCACTGTCACTGTCACCGGGGCACGGCCCGCCCGGAACTGCTGCGGACAGCAGCGGGACACCGGGAGGGGACACTGGGAATGGGACAGTGGGGATTGGGACATTAGAATGGGACACTGGGGAGGGGACATTGGGATGGGACAGCGGGAGGGGACACCGGGAATGGGACATGGGAGGGGACATTGGGGATTGGGACATTAGAATGGGACACTGGGGTGGGACACTGGGGTGGGGACATTGGGATGGGACACCTAGGAGGGGACACTGGGAATGGGACACTGGGGATGGGACATTGGGACACTGGGAGGGGACATTGGGGATGGGACACCGGGATTGGGACATTAGATTGGGACACCGGGGAGGGGATACCGGGATGGGACATTGGGATGGGACACTGGGAAGGGACACTGGGAAGGGGACATTGGGGATGGGACACCGGGATTGGGACATTGGGATGGGACACTGGGAATGGGACATTGGGATGGGACACCGGGATGGGAGCGGATCACGGGGCCGGGCCCAAACCCTTCCCAAATCCCCAGGGAGGAAACCCCCCCTTCCCACAGCAGATTTGAGGACCCCTTCCTCGACCCTGCCCTTGCTGACCCTCAGGAACCTCGACACCCTTCAGGGAATCTCCTCTCCCCAAACCCCAAAATCCCCACCAGAACCCCCACCCAATCCAACCACCCCGTTTCCACGGCAACGCCTCCCGTCCCGGGAGCACTCACCGAGGGCCGCCTGGTCCCGACTGACCCCGTCCCGCCGCGCTGCTTCCTCCTCCTTCTCCTTTTCCTCCTCATCCTCCTCCCCGGGCCTGGCCCCGCCATAACTCGCCCCTCCCTCTTGGCCGGCTTCATTTTTCGCGCTGCGCATGCGTAGAGCGTGAAGACCCTTCCGCCCTTACTCCCCCAGCGGGCTGCCCCGCGCCGTGCCTGACGCCCAGCGCGGCCGTACGGCCGCGCTGGGCGTCAGGCACGGCGCGGGGCAGCCCGCTGGGGGAGTAAGGGCGGAAGGGGCNNNGCTGAGGGGGTTTGGGGTTTTTAGGGGGATTTTGGGGTTGTGGGGGGTCTGCAGGGGTATTTAGGTTTTTTTTTAATGACGTTTAGGGGTGTTTGGTGGCATTCAGGGATGTTTTGGGGGCATTTAGGAATGTTTGGGGTGGATTTAGGGGTGTTTTAGGGTTATTTAGGGATGTTTTGGGGTTATTTAGGGGTGTGTGGGGTGGATTTAGAGGATTTTAGGGGAATTTTAGGGTTGTGGGATGGTCTGCAGAGATATTTAGGGGTGATTGGGGTGGATGTAAGGGTGTTTGGGGTGGGCTTAGGGGGCATTTAGGGGTTTTTAGGAGGATTTAAGGGGTTTTAGGGTCGTTTTGGGGTTGTGGGGGGTCTGCAGGGGTGTTTAGGGTTTTTTTTTAATGTCGTTTAGGGGTGTTTGGTGGCATTCAGGGATGTTTTGGGGGCATTTAGGAATGTTTGGGGTGGATTTAGGGGATTTTAGGGTAATTTTAAGGTTGTGGAATGGTCTGCAGGGGGATTTAGGGGGCATTTAGGGCTGTTTGGGGTGCATTTCGGGGTTTTTAGGAGCATTTTGGGGTTGTGGGGGGTCCGCAGAGGTATTTAGGGTTTTTTTAAATGTCATTTAGGGACGTTTTGGGGTTATTTAGGGGTGTTTTCGGGGCATTTAGGAATGTTTGGGGTGGATTTAGGCGATTTTAGTGTCATTTTAGGGTTG